TATTTTAAAAAACACACAGTGTTTCTGTGAGTCAGTGCGGTCCGCAGAGATCAGGCGTGTCTGTCCGACTGCTTTTCCCGCTGCAGGAAACTTTGGAAGGAATCAAAGTTTATTCCCCCCACCGCCATACCAAACCGGCGGAAAACGCCCCGGACCGGCCCCAATCCAAGGGCCCTCCTCCTGCACGGGATGGAGTGTGGGCATCTGAGGATGGATCCTGCATTGGCGGAGGGCGTCAGACCACCCCCCCATCCCCAAGCCCAGTTTTCTCCATTGGGGGATTGAAGAGCTGACTTTCTAGGAGTTTCACTTCTTAGAGATAACAGGATTCCAGACGCCACCCCCACCCTTCATGCCAAATCCCGGGAATAGTGAATTCCCGACTCACAATTGTTGAAGGAAATGTGCAATACTCGCCTGGCCCTGGTGTCCGTGTCTAACTGCACATGAACGTCACTTTGGCCTCAGTTTGTTCACCTAAAATGGTGGCCATAGGAAATTTTTAAGGATGCTTTCAGATTGAACCAAAGAGCTAAGACATCCCAGTCCAGCCTTATGCCCAGATTTGGGGGCTGGGGAGCCTAAGCAACTCCTCCCAACCCCCCAAACTATAGACGTTTGGTCCTGAATGCGCCTAATGGCAGATTGAATTCAGAGCTGAGTCCTGGGAGGCCCCTGGAAGGAGCAGCCAAGCCACCGTGGAAGGGAAGGCTGACGGCGGCTTCACTGCCTGCCTCCTGGAGGGGAGGGGAGGGGTAAGGGCAAAGCTGGCGGCGGGCGGATGGCTCTTGGCAGGTCCACTGAGCTCGAGGACTGGCGGCTCTGCGCGCTGGGCTAAAGTGCGGGGGTGCGTGAGCAAGGACCCGGATATCCACTAAAGTGCGGGAGTGCGTGAGCAAGGACCCGGGGTGTCCATTAAAGTGCGGGGGTGCGTGAGCAAGGACCGGGATATCCACTAAAGTGCGGGGGTGCGTGAGCCAGAACCCGGGGTATCCACTAAAGTGCGGGGGTGCGTGAGCAAGGACCGGGATATTCACTAAAGTGCGGGGGCAAGGACCGGGATATTCACTTAAGTGCGGGGGTGCGTGAGCCAGAATCCGGGGTATCCAATAAAGTGCGGGAGCAAGGACCGGGATATCCACTAAAGTGCGGGGGTGCGTGAGCCAGAACCCGGGGTACCCACTGAAGTGCGTGGGTGCGTGAACAAGGACCGCGATATCCAGCGGGAAAGGGGCTGAGCGCGCGGGAAGGGAGGAGCCAAACCCAAGGGCGACCTTTCCCCGGCATCCCGGCTGTCAGGCATGTGTCCGAGGGGGAGGGGAGACCGGGAAATGAGAAAGTTCGGGTTGAAAACGTGCTGGCAGGCAGGCTCTTTGAAATTGAGTTTTTTACTCAGCCCGCAGGAATTTTGGCCCTGCGTTACCCTAGAATTTCGTCTGTTTTAGTGCGCGTTTCAGTGACTCTTCTTTCACACTGTTGCTAGGAGAGGCTCGAGTCTGAAATCACTTCCAGGTGTCCCAAATGCCACCCCTTGCTTCGCTGGGGCACTTGGGCGAATCCTCAAAGCTTTTCCGTACTTTGGTGTCCTCAACTGATATTTGGGATGATAATAGTCCTTACCTGGAAATTAAATGAGTTAACCCACATGAAGCACTGAGAACTCTGCCCAACACATAAAAAACCGTCGGTAAGTCCCTATCATTGACTACAAAACTCCCAACGAGGGACTTGAGCCTCCGTTCAGTGAGTGAACACAGGAATTCCACAGTAACCTCCTCTTTAAGGTTCTGTTTGTTCTAGTGAGTTTGTAGGCGAGCTCCCTTTAGAGATTTAGTGTGGCTCCGCAGTAAAGGCGTCTAGAAGATTCTGGGCTGTCTGTTTAAGCTTCTGTGACTGCTTAGCTTTCTACAGCCTCAGATTTGGCCGACTACCCAGAAAGCTGAATACTACCCAACAATACCCGCCAGGCCCCAGGAGGACATTAATGCATGTATGCAGTGTGATCGCTGCCCGATGGTATCGGCTTACTCAGCAATGCACTGCTCTTTCTGGTGGTCGACCTGACCCCCCACCATATGGTTTTGATATTAACCCAATATAAAAAAGAGACCCTGTCCTGGGAGGGAGTGGATTTCCCCCAGGCCGGCCACCCCTGGGAGCAAGCAGCTGCTCTGCCTGTGTATATAAATCCCTCCTGTTAAAGCTCTTATGAATTTGAATAAGGCTATGTGTCAGTTCCTCAGAATCCATCCTGATTTTAAACCTTTGGCGTTTTCCCCCGATTATAGGATAGTAAGTAGCTAGGAAAATCCCAGGACACGTGGAGTAGGGAAACTAAGACAGATAGTTAAACAGCAGTTGTAGCCACCTAGTCAGCCCTATCTTCCCTAAGCCAAGCACATTTAAAAGTAAATAGTTTACACTTCTCTTCCCCATCCGGAGCGTAAATAGCTTAAACCACCCTACTCAGGGAGAAAGACAGCAGAAATCCAATTAGTGCCATTTGCCAGTAACCACATCCAAGGACAGAAGAAGTTAAGAGAATAAATCTCATTTTGGTGCATCAGCCTAAAGTTGATGAGTAAGATCCTCCCCTAAACACCAGCCTTTAAAATTCCTTAAAACAAATGTCCCAGCTCTCTCTAGCCCTCCCAGGAACACACCTGTGCCTTCCCCTCTGCCTCTCCTTTCCCGCAGGCAAGCATCTCCTAAACTCTAAGGCAGTGGTCGGCAAACCGCGGCTCTCGAGCCACAAGTGGCTCTTTGGCCCCTTGAGTGTGGCTCTTCCACAAAATACCACGTGCGGGCACGCATGTACAGTGCGATTGAAACTTCATGATCCATGTGCAGAAGTGGGTATTTTGTGGAAGAGCCACACTCAAGGGGCCAAAGAGCCACATGTGGCTCGCGAGCCGCGGTTTGCCAACCACGGCTCTAGGGAGTTAAACTCACAAGATAGGATATACAAGATCTCCCCTTCCATTCACTAGGATTGCTATTTATTTATTGTTTTATTCTCTCTTTTTTCTTTTTTTGGGGAAGGGGGTGGAGAGGGCATTGCTATTTACTTAAAAAAAGAAAAGAAAAGCATTGGTGAGGATGTGGAGAAAATTGAGCCCTTATATGTTGCTGGTAAAAAGGTGCAGCAGCTGTGAAAAACAGGTGGGCAGCTCCTCCAAGAGTTAAACATAGAGTTTCCATGTGGCCCAGCCAGTTCACTCCTAAGTATGTAACCGTGAGAAGTGAAAACATGTTCACACAAAAACTTACACAAAAATATTCCTAGCAGCTTTCTTTAAAAATGCCAATAAAAGTGGGAACAGCTCAAATGTACATCAACTGCTGATGGATAAACAAATGTGGTACAAAAATATTATATAGACATAAAAAATGAAATACTAATACATTGTACATGTACCCTGGCTGGTTGCTCAGTGGTTAGAGTGTCAGGCCAAGGACAGAAGGGTCCCGGTTCCACTCCTGGTCAAGGGCATG